CTCACCAAGCCCTGGCAGTCCTGCAGCCCACTTATAAAATAAACACACAGACTCTTATATTATTTAAACTGTTTGGCCTATTGGCTGAGGCTTCTAGCTATCTAGTTCTTACATCTTAAGTTAACCCATTTCTATTAGTCTATACTTTGCCACGTGGATCGTGGCTTACTGGTACCTTACATCTTGCTTGTCATGGCAGTGGCTGGCAGCGTCTCTCTGCCTCAGTCTTCCACTTCCCAGAATTCTCTTCTCTGATTGTCCCACCTATACTTCTTGCCTGGCTACTGGCCAATCAGCATTTTATTTATACAGAGCAATATCCACAGCATCTTTGAATACTTATCTCTATTGGGTCCCTGGGAAGGCACATTCTGACTATGACCAGAAGGACACTTTCAACTTGTTCAGTTTCATCATTTATTTCCTTGATTGTGGCCAGGAGAGGGAAAATGAAACTTAGGGTCCAGAAGGCCTTGCTAGTTGATGTAACCATGAAAAGCTTTGGGGAACCTTCAGAACTATTGAAATGACTGCATCCAGCTGGATGCAAATGGAATAAAGCCTTCAAGATGAACTTTTGGGGGTCACTTCTGCTGTTTTGTACACTCGCACTTTTGTACACACACCACCACCACCACCACCACCACCACCACCACCACCACCACCACCACCACCACCATTTGGTAATACAAGCCACAGTATCATTGAAACATGACTTAAGTAAACACTATTCTTTGGTGAAGATCAGTGGTTTTTCACTTTGTGTAAGAGGTAAAGGGGGTATGTATCTGTCAGTCATTTTTGTAGTGCATGGGTAACTGTGCATCGAATGACAGCTTCCTGAGAACACCTAAGGTTGCTGTGTAGGCAAGATGCTAAGCTCAGTGTCTGGGGAATTATTGATAATACAAATGTTTGTTAAAACTATCTTTTGATATTAGAAACGTCTAGTTTTGTTCTCTTTTTTCCCCTGCCTCTGAGGAATGGCCTGACTTTGAGATCAGAGGGAGGTGTGTGGCTCTGCTGGGCTAGCCAGTACAGTGTCAGAGCTGGTGTACAGGCTGTCGGGTCCTTTCAGCATGCTGGAAATCCAGGCAAACTTCTAGTTCCAAGAGGGACTGAGATTAGCACCTTGCTTTCTTTGTGGGCCTAGTATCCCAAGATTAGAACTAAGAAGTTAGTTTTTCCATTCCAGAAAAGTAATTTTCAACTTTTTTCTTGACTTTTTTTAACCCCTGAACAATCTTCCCAAGAACAAAATTTGAAAACACATTGCATTATGATTCTGTTATTATTTTTGCACTGTTACTGCTATTACTGCAGCAGCCGACCCATTCTTGAGCATTTACTGGATGGATAGCTCGGTGCCACCTGCTTAGTGGGACTTGTTACATTAAACTTTCTGCCACGCAGCAAAATAAGCATTATTAATATTACCTATATTTTTCAGAGGAGAAAGAAATTGGTAGTAGGAAATGATATAAACTGTTGAACTCATTTAGTTTAAAAAAGGATTTGTCTGTAGATACAAGGTCATTAGTATTACCTGTAATGCCACTTAAAGAAAAAACCAGCATGCTCACAAATGAAGCCTAACTTGTGTGCAAGCATTCATGTATGAATGTCTACCTAATGTGCGTGCATG